GCTTTGCTGTTCATGTTTTTTTGCTAGCCAGCTGGATTTTCAAAGATACATATCTGGCTTTGGAATGTTGGTTTGCTACCTCCCTGCCTCCACTTTTGTGATGATGATGCTGCTAAAGCTGTTCCATGCCTATTGGCCAAATACCCCAAGCTTGTACTTTACCCTATAAAACCTCATGCGCACGTCTTGGAGGTGCTCAGAGATTCGGAGCAGAAGCCCCTCTGAGCCCGCTGGCCTAATACATCTGAGTACTCCAACCCTCTGAGTGGTGCTTATTTCTTGACTGACCTGTCATTTCTGTAACATTTCTGGCGGCCCCAGCAAGATACAACCACGCCGGCCCCTTGAGCCGCTGGACTGGTGGCTCTGGCTGACCGGGGGACGGGACTCCAGCAGCGAACGAGGTGGCGCCGCCCGACGGTATTCTGGGTTTTCCTTCGGCAATTCGGCCCCCGGGTGGCTGGGCTGGGCTACAACCAGAGCCAGACTCCGTGGAGGGATGGACAGACTCACCAGGTGGCCGTCCGGACAAGGTAGGAACCCCCAGGAGGAATCAGGTCCTGTCCCAGTGGACAGAAGAGGAGGCGGATCCCCTCCTACAGGAAACAGGATATTTGGATTGGTGGGAGGACTGTTGTTAACCTCTGTGTGTGTGAGTGAGCGGCCTGTGAAGCACGCGATCAGGCTCGAGTTTGTAGCTCCATGGCATTGTGCTACGGAGTTCGAGTGAGTCCCAACCTGCGGTTCCGTGGTGACCTCATATGGCTCAGGGCGCTATCGGTCCCTCAGGATCCCGATCGGAGTCAGCGGCTTATACTGACCCGCCAAAGCTAAGAGGCACCTTCGTCCCCGTGAGGTGAGCGGCCAGGCGGATAGAGCGAAAACCCTCCCTTGTCTTGTCTGTGACATCGGCATAGTGTGGCTACACTGGGAGGGAAAAGGACATAGACAGCCAATGAGTCAACGCCCCTGTGCCCTTGGAGTCTAGGATGCTATTTCTTTGAGAAAGTCTCCGATCTTACTCTCACAAAACACCCGAGACTTATTGTTCCCCTACTGAACTGACCCAAGTAGTGCCCCTTTTGCCTAGCCCAGGACTCAAGTTTAGAAGACGAATTCCTTCAGGACCAGGCTCACCTGGCCTTGGAGGTCCTTTTTCTAGTCCATTTGTTTCACCATCCACCATCAGTCCCACGCCCCTGATACATTAGTTCAGGATATAGAGAGGATTTAATGAAGAAAGTCCCTGGAACTGCTTGAGGCCTTGAGCTCCAGAGACATCAACTGTGACTGGAGCCCAGACTCCCTGACCAAATTAGCCTTCAAACAACTCATAGACCCAGCAGGAGAGCAGTCTCTCTTGGAACTCCTGGGTTTTGAGGAATGAAGAAAGAAAAGATACAAAGGCTACCTTCCCAAACATCTAAAAAGAATGGGAGGCTCTAAGTCAAAACCCACCACTCTAGACTGCATGATTAAGAATTTCAAAAAGGGTTTCTCAGGGGATGATGGAATTCGAATGACCCCTGGCAGGCTCCACACTTTGTGTGAGCTTGAATAACCAGCCTTTGGAGTCAGGTGGCCCTCAGGAGGAACTCTGGACCTAGCAACAGTGCGAGCAGTCTATCAAATAATCACTGGAACCCCAGGCCACCCAGATCAATTCCCTTACATTGACTCCTGGCTGAATGTTGCCCAGACTCTACCCCCATGGATTCGGTTCTGCTCAAATGGACCTGGACAATGCAAGATATGAGCAGCTCAGCTGGTCCAGGCCAAAAAGGACAGATTTAAAAAAAAGCCTATTTTCCAGGGAGACACAGAGAACAAAATGTGCCTGCCCCCTCCGTATGCCCCCGGGGCACCAACACCTCCAGTCCCACTGGAGACAGCCACCCGCTGTGTCACCACCTCCCCAACCTGAGGACCCAGAGGCAGAGCCCAGCCCCCAGCCTGAGCTGACAGCCTGAGGAGACTCAGCTCAGCACAAGCTGGGAGAGCAGCACCGCCAGCCCTGCAAATGCCGCTGCGGGAGACACAAGGGCCACAGCAAGCTGGGGAGGACAGGACTGTTCAGCCCAGACACCCCGTACTCTGCTACCAACCCTCTAGCACTACAGCCCTTCCCAATTGGTGCCATCATACTCCTTCCTACTGGGAAAAGCCACAGGCATTTCAATCACATCATGGTCTAAACAAAATAAAAAAGATGAGCTTCCACACTAATAGCAGATGAAGAGCCACCGGTAAACCGGTCAGGATTTTTGGCTTGCCCTCCAAGAAAAGGAACAAAAAGTGTTGGAGCGGGCTGCAGAAGACGTCAGAGGGAGCCAGGCCGCCCAGCGGTGGTGGCAGGCGGAGCAGCAGCAGCCCCCGCAGCCCCGGCACCGCCCCCAACTCAACTGCCGCCACCACTGCAATGGCAAGTGTCGGGGAGCGCCGGCCTCTGCCCAGTCCCGAAGCGATGCTGGGACAGTCATGGGGCTCTGTCACGAAGACATGCCAGTATTTGGTCTCTGTCCAGCCCATAATGATTTCTAGTTGGTGGTGTGTGACGACTGTAATCAGGCCGTCAAACCGCAGGCTCTGATCGACCTCGTAGAGTCTGTCTTTGATTCTCACCGGCCCACCCGGGAAGATGTTCGCCAGACGGAGGAAAAGAGACACATTCTCACTGAAGCATGAAAATGGCTGCAGGGCCGAGCCCCCAGGGACACACTGGATGTTGAGGGGTGGGCCATGACATGGGCCCCTGACACCAGACCAGACTGGGACGTTCTCTTGGAGTCCTGGCTCAAAATGTAGGGCTATGGCAGCACGCTATGGCCTATTTGTCTAAATGACTGGACCCTGTGTCATCAGGATGGCCACCCTGTCTACGGGCCCTCGCTGCCACAGCCCCCTGGTCAATGAGGCAGACAAACTCCCACTGGTACAGACTTTAAATGTAAAAGTGCCCCATTCTGTGGTGGCTCTGAAAAACGGTCCAGATTACAAATGGATAACTAACACAAGGATGACCCACTACCAGGGGCTTCTATGTAAAAATTCAAGAGTCCGTCTAGAGACTGTGCAAACTTTAAACTCAACCACATATTTGCCTGAGGGGGAAGGGCAGCCTGACTATGACTGTAAGGAAATCTTCAAGGAAGTGTATGTGAGTCTGCAAAAGCCAGACCTGAAAATTTTCACAAACAGCAGCAGTTACATGCAGGATGGACAACGGCGAGCAGGTTACGCTGTAACAACAACCCGAGAGGTAATAAAGACAGAGTCCCTTCCCCCAGGATGGTCTGCTCAGCGAGCAGAGACTTGGGCAGTGGTGCAGGCACTAAAGGAAGGGAAAGGAAAATGAATCAATATACACGGATTCCAAATATGCATTTGCAACCTTGCATGTACATGGAGCCATCTGTAAGGAGAGAGGACTCTTCACTGCTGGGGGAAAGGAAATCAAAAACAAAAAAGAAATTTTAGTTACTGGAGGCAGTATGGGGTCCCCAAAAAAGTGGCCACTATTCACTGTAAGGGACACCAAAAAGGAAATGACCCTGTGAGCCAGGGGAACAGGCTGGCTGATCAAAAGGCAAGAGAAACAGCCACCAGGGAACACCCAGTAATTAAAATTATGGCAGTGCCAGAGCTCCCCACTGCCCCAGAATATAGCCACGACGAAAACAAGTGGGCACAGGGTGAAGAAGGAAAGAAAAGAAAGGATGGATAGTGGATCATGATGTATAGAAGGGTTTTCATCCCAGAAGGACTAGCTTATTGTATAGTCCAGCAATACCATGAAGCCACACATACGGGAAAAACAGCTTTGGAGGCCCTCCTAAAGCGATAGTTCCTGATTTATCATCTCCCTGCTCTGTGTGCATCAGTCTCCCAACACTGCTTGCTCTGTGCTCAAAACAATCCAAAACAAGGGCCCACTGGGCCAACAAGAATACAACGATTCGGATTGACTCCCTTTCAAAATTTAAAAGTGAACTTTACTGAACTTGGGTACAGTAAGGGATATAAGTACCTGCTGGTTTTCATCTGCACCTTCACAGGGTGGGTAAAACCTAACCCACCAGGACAAAAAAAGCAAGGGAGGTAACAAAGGCTCTCCTCAGGGGTGTCATCCCTCAGTTTAAAATGCCTACTTCCATCGAGACTGACAACAAACCCACCTTCATGGCAGAGATTGTACAGCAAGTGGCAAAGACACTAAAAATCTGCTGAAACCTACACACAACATACCGGCCTCAAAGCTCAGGGAAGCTGCTAAAGC